TAGTTAGGATATCAGGATATCATATACAGATCGCATTTATGGCCCGATCCTTACGAAATTTTGCATGGGGATAAGATGAGGGTCAGAATAGAAGCCTACTCTTTTTGGAGATGATCGCCATATATTTTGGGGTTGAAATGGACCAAAAAACGACAAAATTGTCAGCAGGTCGTAATTATCGCCCGATCCTCATGCACTTTTGAATGGGGGTTACCGGACATTGCAAAAGCCAAGCAGTTTTGGATGACCATCCAAAAAAATTCAATGTGTGAAATAGTTTGCCAACTTTTGTAGACAAAATACGAAAATGTCCATTCCAGTGACTTTTTGGAGAATTCACAAATACAGGAAAGATGTACTTCTGACTATTTCGTTAACGCTGATTTCGATGAAGAATATAGTCAAATGTCTGTATCTCATATAGATGCGTTTCAGTCAAAAACCAGTAATAAATGTTAATCTTTTGCCACTTCTGAGAGATTATAGGTCTTTGGGAAATATTGGTTCCAGATCTAGGAAGACCATTTACGTGCAACATCTACCAATAAATTGGAAATGAGCAAATTAGTTTAAGTTGCTATTATTTGAAAATTAGAAAATTAGAGTATGTCGCCTATATAAACTGTATCGTTTATTATCGTGTTGTAGGGTATTCAACGGTCGGCCCCGCTCGACTTTAGCCTTTGCTTACTTGTTTCGTATTCATTTAATTATTTTCTCCAAACTGTCCTTTCCTTCTCAAAAAAAAAAAAAAAAAAAAAAAAAAAGCAGAAAGAGTAAAAACAAGTAAAAAAGCAGTAAGTTCGGCCGGGCCGAACTTTGAATACCCTCCACCATTTGGAACAAATTAGAAAATTTTCAAAAAAATAAAATCAATTAAAAATTCTGTTAAAATCTTTAAAATACCTAATATCGGAAGGTGCCGATATATGGGGGGATATACGATATTGTGGGCCTATAAAGACAAATATATGTCTGCGTGTAAAGTACTCACAAGGAACTCCTTGTGTGGATTTTCAGATAATTCCATTGGAAAAAGTGGCTAAAATCATCGAAATACCGAATATAGGGGAGTACCGTTATATGGGGGATATACGATATTGTGGAACTATATAGACAATTCCGTTTCAGGGGTAAAATGCTCACAAAGAACTCCGTGTGTGGATTTTCAGACAATACGATTGGAAAATGTGGCTAAAAACATCAAAATACCGAATATCGGCGGTACCGTTATATCGTGGACTTATATAGATAATTCTCTGCCGAGGTATAAAGTACCCACAAGGAACTCCTTGTGTGGATTTTCAGACAATTCCATTGAAAAATGTGGATAAAATCATCAAAATACCGGATATCGGGGGTTCCGTTATATGGGGGCTATACGATATCGTGGACCGATATAGCCCATCTTCGAACTTGACCTGCCTGCAGACAAAAGAGCGATCTGTGCAAAATTTTAGCTTTCTATCTTAATTCGTTTAGACTGTAGCGTGATTACAACAGACGGACAGACGGACGGACAGGGCTAAATCGTCTTAGAATTTTACGCTGATCAAGAATATATATACTTTGTTGGGTCTAAAATGATTATTTCGATGAGTTACAAACGGAATGACGAACTTAATATACCCTCCATACTTTTTTGGTGGAGGGTATAAAAAACTACACAACTACGTAATTATAAGGTATTTTATAATTAACCTCCCACTACATAACCTTTATAACCGTGTGCGTGTGTGTGTGCCACATAAGATGACCCAAATAAATTATATTCTTATGACCTCACATCTCTCGATGTGGAATTTCACAAGAAGCAGCCTTCCCCCGTTCGGTACAAAGAAAAAATAAGCAATCTATCTAATTAAAAGATAACATAAAATTATACGAATCCAGTACTGGTCAGTGCCTATGTGTGGCTGTGAACCAAAGCAATCAACCCATCCGCCATAACGGGTGGGTGTGAAATATATATCTATCAAATAAATTATTGTCCAAAACAGAATTCACGGTCAAATCTTAAATAACAGCAGCAACAAATTATGTGCAAAATTGAACCTAGTCATGGTCAGCGTTCAGTATCCGCATATTCAGAGAATTAGTTTTCCGACTGTCTATGCAACTATGACGTTTTTTTTTTTTGTTTTTCAAATACTTTGTAAATAAAATTAAATTATAATTTGCAAAACAACAAAACACACTCACACTCAATCCACCTAGGGAAGTACTAAAAACCTACCACCTACCTATCTATCCCCACAAAATGGCAACATAAAAATTACCGGATAAATCAAGTTATGTTCGTGTAATTTGTTTTATTATGTTGATAAATGTGTTTTTTATTGCTGCCACATGGGGTGGCCGACGGTGGTAAGGGGGGCATAGGGAACCCACAGCCCACACATGATGCTGCAACATACCTGTGGTGATGAATGACACAAGGTAACCACGAAATTTGCGCCATCAGGGTGTCTGTCACATGTTGCAGTTTTATGAGATAGTTGATATTATGATTTTGGGCGAGCAAAAAAAAAACACTTAAGCGATACTTTTCGCAGCGAAGGATAAGTGCATTTACCGAGACATAAATCATAATGGCAATGATTGAAAAAATTCTTAACTAGAGTCCAAAGTAAGTAACACATTTTAAGTGCATGGTGGATATTTTATTATAATTGCGGGATAGTAAAAAAGGGGAAAGCAATATAACTGGTAGGGTATTTTTAAAATATCGGTGGTACGATGGTGATATGATGAAGCAAAAAAAAAAAAAAAAAAACAAGTAAAAAAGCTGTAAGGTCTGAATTTTGAATGAAATTTGGAATTTGGCAATTTTCAAAAAAAAAAAATCCATTAAAAATTCTGATAAAATCTTAAAAATACCGAATGTCGCCGTTATATTAGGGTCTATACGACGACGCGGACCTGCAATGGCAACTTTTGTCATGAGCCACTATAAATGCGAAACTTGACAAAAATCGGTGAATAATGTAGCTAAAATCATCGAAATACCGAATATAGGGAGGTACCATGGGGGTTATAAAACGTGGATCTGCACAGATAATTTTTTGGCATAGCCTGTAGTATACATTACGAATTTCAAATACCAAATTTGAAACAATTTCGGTAAATAATGTCGCTAAAATCATCAAAATACCGAAAATAGGGAGGTACCATTATATGGGGCTATACGAAGACGTGGACCTGCACAGACAATTTTCTGTCATAGGCTGTAGCATCCCTTACGAACATCAAATACCAAATTTGCAACAATTCTGGTGAATAATGTCCTTAAAATCCTCAAAATACCGAATATCGGGAGAGACCATTATAAAAGGGCTATACGAAAACGTGGATCTGCCCAGACAATTTTCTGTCTTAGGCTGTAGTATCCATTACGAACTTCGAATAACAAATTTGAAACAATTTCGGTGAATAATCTCTCTAAAATCCTCAAAATACCGAATATTGAAGGGTATCGTTATATGGGGGCTATACGAAGACGTGGACCTGCACAAACAATTTTCTGTCTTAGGCTGTAGTATTCATATCAAACTTCAAATACCAAATTTGAAACAATTCCGGTAAATAATGTCGCTAAAATCATTAAAATACCGAATATCGGGAGGTACCGTTATATGGGGGCAATACGAAGTAGTAAACTTGCACAGACAATTTTCTGCCATAGGTTGTAGTATCTATTACGAACTTCAAATACCAAATTTAAAACAATTCCGGTAAATAATGTCGCTAAAATCAACAAAGAACCGAATATCGGGAGGTACAGTTATATGGGGGCTTTGCGAAGGCGTGAACCTGCACAGACAATTTTCTGTCTTAGGCTGTAGTAACCATTGCGAACTTCAAATACCAAATTTGAAACAATTCCGGTGAATAATGCCGATAAAATCATAAAAACATGGAATATCGGGAGGTGGTACAATATGGGGGCTGTACGAAGACGTGAACCTGCACGGACCGTTTTCTGTCGTAGGCTGTAGAATCCATTGCGAACTTCAAATACCAAATTTAAAACATCTCCGCTTAATAATGTCGCTTAAATCACCAAAATACCGAAAATAGGGAGGTACTATTATATGGGGGCTATACGAAGACGTAAACCTTCACAGGCAATTTTCTGTCATAGGCTGTAGTAACCATTACGAACTCCAAATACCAAATTTTAAATAATTCCGTTGAATAATGTCGATAAAACTCGTGAAAACATCGAATATCGGAAGGTGGTACTATATGGGGGCAATACGGAGGCATGGACCACAGACAATTTTCTGTCATAGGCTGAAGTATCCATTACGAACTTCAAATACCAAATTTGAAACCATTTCGGTGAATAATGTCGCTAAAATCATCATCATCATACCGAATATCGGGAGGTACCATTATATGGGGGCTTTACCAAAACGTGGACCTACATGGCCCATTTGCAATACCAAAAGTCCTGCAGACATAATATATATTTAAGTAAAATTTTATCAACCTACTTCATTTCGTTCAGATGCAAGAGTGATGTCCACAGACGGATAGACGGACAGACAGACGGACCTCGCTAAATCGACATAGAATTTTATACTGATCAAGAATGTGTATACTTTGTGGGATCTAAAATGTATATTTCGAGTTGTTACAAACGGAATGACAAACTTAATATACCCTCCATACTATGGTGGAGGGTATGAAAAGAACAAACAAATGTACCGGCGTCTTGAAAGTTGACATCGAAAAATTATCTGACCATTTTCTGGTCATTTTTGAATAAGGCCAAAGACTCTCTCAATAAATGGTAATTAAAAGTATATTTATATAGGACCTGTACCGAATCGGGAACCTATATCGATATTTTTTTGGAGACTGATAGGTTTCCCCCTTTATCTAGGTTATGTAACGATGTAAATTTTTTAAAACGCCAATACACATGTCCTCTATTTTTATCCCTTCTTTCAAATTCTTCCATTAACCTTAAAAATTTCCTTCATTTGTTCCAGGATAAACGAATCTTTACATGGTTCGAAGGAGAAACCTCATCGAATGACCTCTACAGTGGACGATTGCATCTGATAACCAATAATGAGGAATACGGCAAGGCCAGTGCAAATTTGACATCCATTCGGGAATCGGATCAGGGTTGGTATCACTGCCAAATTGTATTTCCCAATCGTACGCCGAGTATACGGAACAATGGAACCTGGTATCACCTGTCAGTGCAAGGTATACGAATTTCGAACGCATTTATATATTTGCAAAAAGCACACGCCTGGAAAAATGTCATGGAAATATAAGAAAGAAAAAGAACATGGTATTAAATCTCTCATATCCAATCCTCCAGGAAAATCCTCTTTATCGATTGCCTGTTTCTAATAAACGCCATAAGCTACAATTCTTGTCACATGAGTTCATTACAATCGGCAGAATCTGTATTATGTCACTTCTTATGTTTCCATGACTGCGAGTGTGAGTCTGCATATAAGAGTATGTGTAGGAGTGCAATTGTCGCCATAGACCATCCTACAACAATAAGTGTCCTAATGAACTTTGTTTTCTTCGCATGTTTGCCCCGTACACAATGAATGACCAATGATTTGACCGCCCTTCTGCCAATCGCACCGATACCAACCAACGTCCAGGTGGTTCCCTAATAAAAATACCCCCAGTGAATCAAACAATTATGGAAGGACAAACAGCGTTCTTCCATTGTGTCATGAAATATCCCAACTCATCGGAGACTTCATGGTACAAAGATGGCGTTATCTTGCAAGAGATACCTGACCTTATGCGCCGCTCCCGCCTAAGTCCCCAGGGTAGCCTGAGCATTGATCCGACAATGATGAGTGATAATGGCGAATATGAATGTTCGGTACGCAGCAGTGAGGATGAGATACAAACGGCGAAAGCCTATCTTAACATACAATGTAAGTACATAGAAGATGTAGTTTGGTGTTGGAGGCATGATTCATTCGTCTGAAATGGGCGTGATTTTTATAGAGGTGTGAGGAGGAAAGGAGAAGGAACTTAGGCAATGAAATAGAGAAAATCTTAAAAAAACATAAGGGACTGAGCTGAAACTGCGTTATGAAAACCACATAGGAGCTCATGCAAACCTCATTGAACCCTGTTCACTATTTGGAGCCAATACGGTGAAAATGAACCACATTGGACTGGGGGAACTAAAGTGGGAAAGTGAAACTATTGTGAATCAGATGAATTTTAAAGAGCCAGAAAACTCGTGCGAGTCCGGAAAACGATAATGAGATAGATTAAATAACTTAAATCACATAGTAGCTCATGTAGTCTCTATTGAACCCAGTTCACTAAAGTGAACTAGGAAAACACTTGAGGAATTACATTGAGAATGGAGAACTATAAAGATCCAATGAACTCAAGAGGATCAGGAAAACTACAATGAGGCTAGGTTTTCCAGAAGAACTATTTTGAGCCAAATATAGTGAAAAGGAACTACAATGAACTAGGGGAACTAAAAATGAACATTGGAACTACTGTGAGTTAAATGAAATGTAATAAGCCAGAGGAATCGTGCGAGCTCCGAGAACTAAAGTGAGATACATAATAGCTCTTATAATCTATATTGAACCCGTACACTATAGTGAATTAGAAAATGATATAATTAATTATAGTGAGCAAGGAGAACTATAATGAACCAAGGGAACTTATGAAGAACTGGAAAACTACAATGAGCCTAGGAAACTACTTTGAGTCAGGGGAAATAATTTGAATTGTGCAACTCCAACAATTCCAGCTTATGGAACAAAAGTAACCCTATAGAACTCATGTGAGTGAGAGAAATTTAAGTGAACCATTTGAACTATAGTGAAACAGTGACATTTTTGTGAATCAGGAGGACTGCCATGAATATGGGGAAAATAGTAAACCTTCGATACGTTTGTGAGTCAATGTGCAGCAGGCAAACTATTGTAAACTAGAGGAACTATTTGGAATGAGAACCTATATTGAACAATATCAACTATTCTGACCCAGAAACACTAGAGTGAACGTGAGGCACAACAGTTGACCAGATCAACTAAAGGAAAATCATAGGGAGCCCTACAAAACAAAATTAAACCATTGGGATTATACTGAACAAAGTGTGAACGAGAGGAACAAAAGTGAGCCAGGTGATCTTGAGAAGATCAGAGAAACCACAATGAGCCTAGGAAACCATATAATAAACCATGCCAACAATTCTAGCAAAGGAAACAAAAGTAATCCAAGTGAACTGCTGTGCATGAGGGAAATTTAAGTGAACCAGTTGAGCTATGGTAACCCAGTGATTATGGGAATATAAGTGAACCCTGGAGAATTTTGTGAGTCTAATGAACCAATGTGAACCTGGTGAACTATTGTTAGCTAGAGGAACTATTTTGCTACAAGGGCACTAGAAAACAATAGCTGACTAGATGAACTAAAGGAAAATCACAGTGAACTCTGGAAGCTAAACTAAACCATTAGGAATATAGTGATCCAAATGTGAACCAGGGGAACTAAAATGAGCCAGTTGAGCTATATTGCGCTAAGGGAAATATAAACTAGCCAGAAGAATTTTATGGGCCATATTAGTAGTAAACCAGGGGGAATGTAATGAATCTGGCAAACAGGAGTGTGTCTTGGAAATTATTGTGAATCAAGAGAACTAATTTGAACAAGAGGAACTAAGAAACACCAGAGGAACTAGAGTCTGATCCAAGGAAACTATGGTGAAACTGAGAATAAACCAGAACGACTTTAATGAGTCAGGGGAAGAATACTGAGTCTGAGAAACTATTGTGAGTCAGGTGTGCCATGAAAATAATTGTGAGTCAAGTGAACTAATTTGAATAATGGGAACTAAAGTACATCAGAGGAACACTAATGAACACTAATGAACCAGAGGAACTAAAGCTTGACCCAGGAATACTATGATAAACATGAGAATAAACCAGGACGACTATAATGAGTCAGTAGAAGAATAATAAGACTGGGAGATTATTGTTAGTCATGTGAACAAATGTTAACCAGGGGAAATATAGTTAACAAAAAAAGCTATAGGAAATATTGTAAACCAAAGTAACCATATTGAACCAGGCAAACTATTCTAACCAAGGTATTAAAGTGAACCTTAGGGACAATAGGCAATTATATAAATTGAAATTTGTCAGGAAGCAGAGGAACTACAGCAAGCGAGAAAAATTTAATTGAACTTAATTTGAGCAAGGGGAACTAAGGTACGCCAGAGGAACTATGGTGAAACAGAGGAACTTGTGTTTTATCCAGAAATACTATGGTGAACCTGAGAATAAACCAGGACGACTCGAATGGGTCATTCTGGAAAACTTTTAGGAGTGAGGCAAACTAATGTGAACCAGGTGAACTATAGTAAACTAGAGAAGACATAGGAAATATAGTGAGCCATAGAAAATATGGTGAAACAGTGGAACTGTAGTAAACCCAGGGCTATGTAATAAGCCTGGTGACCTAATATGAACCTATGGAAACTAGTAAACTAAGGGATAAATAGTGCCAGAGACATATTATGAGTCAGATGATAAAAAGTAAAATGAAGTAAGACTATGTATACATTGTAAGCACATTGAACTAATGTGAAGCAGGAGAAACATAATGAACCAGCAGGTACTGAACCTGGCAAATTACAAAAAAGGAGGAGTCAAGTGAATAGGAGTGCGCATAAAAATTATTTTGAGTCAAGTGAACTAAAAATTCGCCAGAGAAACTAAATTAAATCAGAAGAACTATAGTCTGATCCAGCATTATTATGGTGAGCCTCAGAACGAACCGGCACGACCTTAAGACTCTCCCAAATTTTCGAACTAATTTGGACCATGGGTAACTAGATGAACTATAGTAAACTACAGCAAATTTAGAGATTCAAAGGAACTGCAATGAAACCGACAATCTTTTCTGACCCAGGGTTCTCAAAGAACAATAGTAGACTAGATGAAATAAAGTCAAGAAGGCAATAAAGTCAGGAACATTATTTAACCATTCGAAGCCGATTTAAACCAGTAAAGGTGAAGCACACCAGAAGACCCTTACTAAGCCATTTACCACAGGGGAACTATAGTAAGCCACAAGAACTATAGCTACAGGACCCTCAATATGCCAGCAGATTTTTATTGGGTAAAGTGAAATATAATGAGTAAGGGAATCTAGCTAAACAGTGGAACTGTACCAGAAAAACTTTTTTGACCCACGACTGAAGCTAGAATCTTGAAAGATTGGGTGAGGATCACTCTTGGTCCAAAGGTGTCGAATAACGCAAGATGTTGGGAATTCATACTAGAACGGCACAAAAGGTACTAAATATGGCACCCTTTGTATATGTCGAACCACCTAAAGCTCTTATTTTGGAAAAGGTTTTTTGGAAATTCGCACTATAAGTGTGCGAAAAGTACTAAAATGTACTACATTTGGTACCATGCCGTATCATGTAAACGGCTAAAGCTAAAAACTGGAATAAGAATCAAGGTTGAGGAGTAGGGTCGATATAAGGAGGTAGTTTTGAATGTTATTAAATTTGCAAAAATTCGAATTTGGAGGATGGAGCTGGAATCCTGAAACTTGAAATTAACATTTCTGGTTGAGTGTGAGATTGGGGTATGGTACTAGTACTAAACACTAAGTACTAAACTTGGTACAATTTCGATTTGGGTGAATCGATATAGCTGGAATGCTGAAATTTGGAAATAAGATTGCTATTGCATTGTAGAATTGCGGTATGTTGGTAATTTTTAAAATTCGTACTAATGTGTACTAAAAGGTACTGAATTCGGTACAATTTAAATTCTGGGAGAACCGATAGAGTGGGAAATTTGGAAATAAGATTTCGATTGTATTGTATGACGTAGGTAGTTAAAGAAATTTGCAGTTATATGTACTAAGTAGTACTAAATTTGATACAATATAAATTTAGGGAGAACCGATACAGTTGGAATCCTGCAATCTGGAAAAAAGATTTCTAGTGGATTGTATGATATAGGTAGTTAAAAAAATTTTTTTGTGTGTACAATTGGTCCTAAACCAATAAAGCTGATATCCTGAAATTAGGAAATAGAATTATTGTCGAAGTGTAAGATTGGGGTATGGATGTAGTTTGGTAAATGATTACTTATATGTACTTAATTTGGTACAATTTGGATTTGTGTGAACCGATGGGGATGGAATTCTGAAATTTGGAATTAAGATTAGTAGGTAGTTTTGGAAATCTGAACTTATACATATGTACTAAATTTGGTACAGATTGGATTTGGGAGAACCTATTAAAATGGTATTCTGAAATTCGGAAATAAGATTACTGTCGGAGTGTAGGATTGGGATATGGAGGTAGTTTTCGAAATTTGTACTTACAGGGTGAGATGAAAAATCTGGAACCAACTTCAGACTTCTGTCATTTCTAAGCCACTCGTCCGACAGATTATTATTATTCCAGTTACAGGTCATTATATTGTTTATAAGCGTACAAAAGCATTTTGGTGAGAATTTTCCAGAAAAAAAGTTATTCGTGATGGAATTCAAGCGTCGTAGTGTGATTTCTTTATATTTGGCTGGAAAACCGCATGTAGCTATAGTAGGATCTCTCTAACATTTAAATGTTAATAAATCTTTTGTGTCTCGTACAATCGCTCGTTACCGAGATACTGGTAGCGTAGCCCGACGTCAAGAAAGTGAACGGAAGAAAACAGCAACATCAGCAGAAATAGTTCGAAAAGTAAAGAAGCGACTTGATCGAAACCCGCGTCGCAGTGGCCGAAAAATGGCTCGTGAGTTGAACATATCGCAATATTCCATTCGACAAATATTGAAAAATGAGCTCGGGGTAAAGCCACTGGAATTCAAAAAGTGCAAGAACTTACACCGCAACAGAAAGAAAATAGACTCAACAGATCTAAAGAGTTGCTTCGCTTGGCCGCAAGTGATGGACTGCCGAATTTGGTTTTCTCCGATGAGAAAACATTCATTGTCCAGCAGTTTGTAAACAAACCAAATTATCGTGTTTACTTGTCAAATAGGTCTGCTGAAAATGTGCACCTTCGGTTGGCCACCGAACACAAGTGCCAGCCATGGCGATGGTATGGGCCGCCATAACAGCCGATGGTAATCGACCGTGGCATTAGAATAAATGCCAAATATTAGAGCGAAAATTAAATTGGTTACAAAATGAGATTCCTCGCTTCATTTCCAGCGCACAATGGCCACCAAAATCTCCGGATACAAATCCCTTGGACTATTGTGTCTGGAGTATTTTGGAAAGCAAGGATGGCACTAAAAAATACCAAAGTGTCGGTCACCTCAAGCAAGCGTTTCGCCGGGAATGGTCCAGAATACCGCAGAGCAACTTTCGGGCAGCGTGTGACAGTTTCATTGGCCGTTTTTCCATAATTCGTGCCAAAGGTGACCAATTCGAACAAATCTAAAATTATTCTAAAATTTGATGCTATTTCTGACATTCAATAAAATTTTTGAAAAAATGTACAAATTATGGAGTATGAATTTGTTTCAGTTTTTTTATCTCACCCTGTATGTGCACGAAAAGTACAAAATTGCATAAAAGGTTGGTATTGCGCGAAGGGATGCTGCTAGAAATCTGAAATTTGGCATTAGAATCACTGTTACTGTGTAGGGTTAAGATTGAAGGAGGTGATTTTGGAAATAAGTACTAAGTGGATAATTTTTTGTTGTTGGTTAAGGCATTGAGTTGTAAGTCTAAAATTTGGCATTAGGATCACCTTTTCGCGATTTGGTTGATACTAGGCGGAGATTTAAAAATACCTACCAAGTAGTACGAAAAGTACTAAATATTATGTACTTGGGTATTTGGAGAAGAAATACTACTGGAAATCTGAAATTTAGAGTAAGAGTCTTTAATGTTGTGAGGGATATATAAACTAAAGGGTTTTTCCAAAATTCGAACAATACGTGTACCAAAAGTACTAAAATGCACTAAATTTGGTACCATTTCAGGGGGGAATACTCCATTCAATTTCTTCTATCCTTTACTTTCCAAAATTCCACCTAACGCCCATTTGCAAATGAATGTTTCTGCCACACACACATCTATACATCACCGCATGTGATGAGGTTTTGCTGATGATGCCTCTACTCATCTGTGGCATGATATGCTGCTGCTGTTTTTGTTGTTCTGTTTTTTTCTTTCCAGATAAGGCTAAAGTGATTTATGCACCACCTGAGGTTTATTTGCCGTATGGTCAACCGGCTGTACTTGATTGTCATTTTCGCGCTAATCCACCGCTAAAAAATCTGAGATGGGAAAAAGATGGCCTACTCTTCGATTCGTATAATGTACCTGTAAGCGAGCCCGTTGCCATGAAGCGTTTCGCCCATCATGCGTAGCATAATCATAACTCTGTCACCGCTCCTAACCAGCATATACAAGCACCTCCAAATGTTCATACGGACAATTACGACTCCTTTGTGGACGAGCTGAAGGATGTCATTTCCTTCATCTCGTTCGTTTGTTGTTGTTTTTTTTTTTTTCTATTTGGTCCATACATTGTTTTGAGGTTATATGTTGTTGCCTCATGATGAGTCGACAGAGCTGATGATGAGCCGGAGCAGGATGATGATGATGATGATTGTGCTGCTATGGGCCATGGTTTTAATGTTTTGTTGTGGATATTATTGATGCCATTGTTGTACTTGTTGTTGTTATTGTCGTTTGCTTTCAGGGAGTCTTCTATAAAATGAACGGCAGTTTGTTCTTTTCCAAAGTAGATGAATCACATGCTGGCAGTTATACGTGCACGCCATACAACGATCTGGGCACGGACGGTCCATCTCCTGTCATTAATGTAATTGTTTTGCGACCACCAATATTCACAATAACACCGAAAGCAATTTACATACAAAAATTAGGCGAATCGGTCCACATGACATGTCAGGCGATCGATCGAGATGGCAGTAATCATCCATCAATTGAATGGAAGCGGGTGAGTACCGTCGGAATAACAATTGTTCGGAGTGGGCCGCAGTGTGTCCATGTGTAAAAATATATATGATTTTTGAGGGGTTTATCATGTTTGTGCATGAAAACACATACATTTGTGTGTATGTGTGAGTATGAAATAATGATATGGGCTATTTCTCACGGAAAAAGAAGTGGAAAATGAAAATAGAGGAGTTCGGAGAGGGTTCTTTCTTAAGAGTTCTTCTACCAATGGAAGACCTGTAAAAAGTCTTCAATGTATGGAAAACCCTTGAGGGGTCTTCTATCTATAGAAGACCAGTAAGAGGTTTTTAAGTATGGAAGATCCGTAAGAGGTCTTCTACCTATAGAAGACCCTTGGGAGGTATTCTTTATAAGGAAAACCCTTGAGGGGTCTTCTAGTTAAGAAGGCCCTTGAGATGTCCTCTAGCTATAGAAGACCCCGGAGAGGTCTCCTAAATATTGAAGACCCTTGAGAGATCCTCCAGCTATAGAAGATGCTTGAGATGTCTTCTATGTATAGAAGGCCCTTGAGAGGTCATCTTGCTATAGAAGACACTTGAGAAAACCTACAGTTATGCAAAATCCTTCAGATGTCTTCTATGTATAAAAGCCCCTTGAGAGGTCTGCGATATAGAGAAGATACTTGAGATGTCTTATAGCTATAGAAGACAATTGATAGATCGTTTAGCTTTAGAAGACCATTGAAAGGTCTTCTAGATTTAGAAGACCATTGAGAGGTCTTCTAACTATAGACGACCCTTGAGAGGTCTTCTAGCTATAGACGACCTTTGAGAGGTCTTCTAGCTATAGAGGACCCTTCTTCCACCTACAGAAGGCCCTTGAGAGGAGACCATTGAGTGGTCATCTAGATATAGAAGACCATTGAGAGGTCTTCTGGCTATAAAATACCCTTGAGAGGTCTTCTAGCTATAGACGACCCTTCTTCCACTTACAGAAGGCCCTTGAGAGGTCCTATAGCTATAGAAGACACTTGAGAGATCGTTGAGCTTTAGAAGACCCTTGAGAGGTCTTATAGTTATTGAAGGCCCTGGAGAGGAATTTTAGCTATAGACGACCCTTGAGAGGTCTTCTAGCTATGGAAGACCCTTAAGAGGTCTTCTAGCTATGGAAGACCCTTAAGAGGTCTTCTAGATATGGAAGACCTTTAAGAGAACTTCTAACTATAGAAGACATTGAGATGTCTTCTGGCTTTAGTAGACCATTGAGAGGTCTTCTTGATATAAAATTCCCTGGAGAGGTCTTCTGGCTATAGAGGACCCTTCTTCCACCTACAGAAGGCCCTTGAGAGGTCCTATAGCTTTAGAAGTGACTTGAGAGATCGTTGAGCTTTAGAAGACCCTTGAGAGGTCTTATAGTTATTGAAGGCCCTGGAGATGTATTCTAGCTTTAGAAGACCCTTGAGGGGTCTTCTAGCTATGGAAGATCCTTAAGAGATCTTCTAACTATAGAAGACATTGAGATGTCTTCTGGCTTTAGTAGACAATTGAGAAGTCTTCTAGATATAAAATACCCTGGAGAGGTCTTCTAGCTATAGAGGACCCTTGAAAGGTCAATCTATAGAAGAGCCTTGAGGGGCCTTCTAGCTTTAGAAGACCCTTGAGAGGCCTTCTAGCTTTAGAAGACCCTTGAGAGGCCTTCTAGCTTTAGAAGACCCTGAGGGGTCTTCTAGCTATTGAAGACCCTTGAGAGGTCCTCAAGCTATATACGATCCTTGAGAGGGAATCTAGATATACTAGAACCTTGAGAGATTTTCTAACTATATAAGCCCCTTCAGAGGTCTTCTAGCTATGAAATACCCTTCAAAGGTCTTATAGCTATAAAAGACCCTTGTCCTCTATATAAAAACTATTAACTATAAAGGACCCTTGGAAAGTCTTCTGACTATAGAAGACTCTTGAGAGGTAGAAGACCCTTGAGAGGTACTTTATCTATAGAAGACCCTTGAGAAGTCTTCTAGCAATAGAATACCCTTGCGAGGTATTCTTGCTATGGAAGAACCTTGGGAGGTCTTCTATCCATAGAAAACCCCTGAGAGGTCATCTAGTCATAGAAGGCTCCTGAAAGGTCTTCTATCTATAGGAGAACTATAGGACAAAAAAAAAAAAACCCTTGAGAGGTCTTCAATGCATTGACGTCCCTTGAGACTTGTGAGAGATCTATCTATCTATCTATCTATGACCCTGAAAAGGTCTTCTATCTATAGAACACCCTTTAGAAGTCTTCTTTATATAGCAGACCCTTTAGAGGTTTTTTTTTAGAATCGGGAGTTCTTCTAGCTATAGAAAACCCTTGAGAGGTCTAAGTGTGCATTGATTCTCAGAGTCAATCCTGCCTGACTTTTGTCTTTTCCTTACAGATTTTTTCTTAGCGATTGGCAAAATCAACCACATTTACTCATACAAGATTGTCATTTTATTTAATATTTAATTCCTTTCCGAGAGTGTGTGTGTGCCCGCATATTTCCTCCATACACATGTACATACACTCACACATGTGTACATATTTTCTCATTCGAGATTATTGTACTTTTGTTGATTCCGCTCCATACGCAGTGTGTTGATTTTATGTATTTTCAAACGTAAAATTTTACTTCTACTAAAGAAGATGATACACACGCACACATACACTCACTCACACACACACGCCATAAGTGGCTACAATAATAGGGCTCCGAAAATTGGCAGGTGTGTTTGCCAGAATATTAATGCAGACGCATTCAACGAACGAAGGCAACAATATTTTTGAGATAAGTGCAACTTTATATCGGTCATGTGGCCCAGTGTCCATTGAGTCATAAACCAATACTTTGTTATTCATGTTCCTCACATGTATGGCCACACACACATAAATTCACACATGTATGCTTGTATGTATATCATTTATATTGCACATTTGTCCCCCGAGAGCGGGAGAGAGAAGGGGCATTTTTCATGTTCCATTCATTTTTGGGCCCCTTTTTTAAAGCGTTAACTCCTACCGGAGTAATTTTTCAAATGCATGACATGCTCTCAGGATTCCTTACAATACTTGGAATTAACTAAATTTTGATGTTCCATCATACATGCAATGTTAATCCGATGAATCTGAGAAAGGATGGGAAAAGCCCAAAAGAGGAAACAATGGGTAGAGAAAGAGAAGGACGAAGATACTTTTCAAAAGCTCATTAAAATCAATGCATAAACTAGCCATAATTGGATGGTTTATCAGATGACATCAGAAATCTTTGTTAACATTTTGTTAATATTCCGTAAGAACCATAACTAAGGATCTGCCAGAGAGGAGGTCATCTTCTGAGGGTAGAATTTTAATCGAAGTAATAAACCATAATGGGGTTTTGGTCAATGACGATAACGACGAGGAGTGTTATTATGTGTCATGTATTGAACTGCAGCTGGAAGTTGTGAAATCATGTGATAGTATAACTCTTTGCAGATTTTAATGCAAAAAAAATATTGAAGGGTTCGTATATACATAATTAGGTAAGCTGAAGCTATTATTTGAAATTAAATAAATAGACAGCCGAACTTTCAATACTTCCCATCATAAAAAATGTGCCTCTAAAATTATCCTATCTATAGAACCTCCTTGAGATGGTCTTAAGAAGACCTTGAGAGGTATTCTATCTTAAGAGGACCCTTGAGAGATCTTCCATCTGTAGAAGACCTTTGAGAGAGACATATAAAGGGTGTCCCAATTAGAACATAATTTTGATATTTTAACAATTGCTGCATCAGTCATTAAAAAATGTAGTTGTAGTTGGGAAACCTCTTACAAAGATGAAAACCCTCATAGGCAATTTTTTGCCATGGGAAGTGGTACCCATTACGAACTCCAAATTCTAAACACATGAGGGTATACCAAAACGGCTCATGTTAATTCCATTTTTCTACCCTTCACCATAGTATGGAGGGTATATTAAGTTTGTCATTCCGTTTGTAACACCTCGAAATATACAATTTAGACGCGACAAAGTATATATTCTTGATCAGCATAGAATTCTATGTCGATTTAGCGATATCCGTCCATCTGTTCGTCTATCCGTCTCTCAATCTGTGGAAAAAATTAAGTAGGTTGATAAAATTTTACTCTGCAGGACTTTTGGTATTGAAAATGGGCCATGTAGGTCTAAGTTTTGGTATAGCCCCCATATAACGGCACCTCCCTATTTTCGGTATTTTGGTTATTTCAGCGACATTATTCACCGGAATAGTTTCACATTTGGAATTTGAAGTTCGCAATGGATAATACAGCCTAAGACAGAAAATTGTCTGTGCAGGTCTACGTCTTCGTATAGCCCCCATATAACGGCACATCCCTATTTTCGGTATTTTAGTGATTTAAGCGACATTATTCACCGGAATAGTTTCAAATTTGGTATTTGAAGTTCGCAATGAATAATACAGCCTAAGATAGAAAATTGTCTGTGCAGGTCTACGTCTTCGTATAGCCCCCATATTACGGTACCGATATTCGGTATTTTGGTGATTTAAGCGACCTTATTCACCGGAAATGTTTCAAATTTGGTATTTGAAGTTCGTAATGGATACTACAGCCTAAGAAAGAAAATTGTCTGTGCAGGTCCAAGTCTTCATATTGCACCCATATAATGGTATCTCCCGATATTCGTTTTTTTTTTTTTTTGATGATTTTAGCGCTTTTTTTTACCAGAATTATTTCAAAATTTTCATTTGAAGTTCGTAATGGGTACTACAGCCTGAAACAGAAAATGGTCTGTGCAGGTCCGGTTCTTCGTATGGCCCCTATATAATTTATATGACTTTAGCTACATTATTGACCGATTTTTTTTCAAGTTTCGCAGTTGAATATTGCCTTATGATAAAATTTGGCTATGCAGGTCCATGTCGTCATATAGACCCTAATATATCGGTTACATTAGGTAGCTTTAAGGTTTTCATAAAATTTTTAACGGATTTTTTTTTTTTTTTTTTTTTTTGAAAATTGCCAAATTCGTTTCAAATGGTGTAGGATGTTCAAAGTTCGACCCGGCCGAACTTACCGCTTTTTTACTTCTTTTTAATTCATTTTGGTCGGAAGCTAGACAAAATGAAATACAAACTCAATATATTCCTGGTGGAGGAAAAAATAAAAACTTGATTTTTTAAGGAAGAGCATAAAAATATCCATTTTAAGCTTTCGCTTGCAAAAATTCCTTATACCGAGTGAGTTCATCTAAGGACCAACTAGCCTTGAGTTATGGGGATTATTCGTGCTGGGTCTTATTGTGGCTATATAGGACCATGATAGAAGCTGAACAACTTAATCGTCAGACACCGTAAAGTGAACGAGAATTATTTCTTCATAGCAAATACTACTCGCATGGAAACGTAGGCAATATAAGAAATTTATTTGAACCATAGCGTACTTATTATTCGAGACTTGCAAAAAAATTTGAGTGGAATATGTGGCGGGAGTTTCCGAACCCTGGCATGTTAAAACCCTTGATTTTCAAATGTCAACTCTCAGTGGAAATGTGACAATTTATTTCAACAATGGATGAAACGGGGGTTTTTAAGAAAGGATTTTTTAAAGACTCTCTGGTAATGAATGGAATATTATTTATAGGCTGCACAGCTCAAAAAGGGTTATGTAAGAAAATCTCTGCAGGGGCTATCTGACATATTTTCTAAAATGTGGAATTAATGCAAATTTTTCAAGGACCAACAGAGCTTTTAATGTGGATTTTTAAAAGTATTTTTAGAGGTACTATCAGATCTATCAACGAGGAGTTTTATTAATATTCTTTTCTGGAACCATCAGAGGTCTGAAAGGAAATATTCTAAATATTTCTTTGATAATTTTTAGAAATATTTTTTTCTGAAACTTTGACTATTTAAGAATATATTTTTCAAGGAATATCAAGCCTCTTATCTATCAGAGTTGTGAAACTTGGATTTTTAGGAATATTTTTTTCAAGGACAGTCGAGCTTTGAAACCTGATTTTTGTGAACAATGTGAGCTAGAAAGAGTGGACTGTTAAGAATAGAACTATTAGAACTTTGAAACGTGGATTTTCAAAAATATTTCTTCTAGGACTAATATAGCAAAGAGGATTTTTAAGAATATTTTTTTCATATACTATCAGAGCTCTGAAATCTGATTTTATGTGAGTATTATTGCAAGGACTATTAGTGCTCTGGAATGTCGTTTTTTAGGGATCATTCGACCTCTCAAACTTGGATTTTTTTAAAATATTTTTTTAAAAACTATAAAAGCTTGGAAATGTGCAATTTCAAAAATATTTGTTAAAGGATATTCAGGGCTTTTAGTTATGGATTTTTAGGAAGACTTTTTTCTAAACCTATTAGAGGTAAGAAACGTAGACTTTTAAAAACATTTTTAAAGGACTATCAGAACCCTTAATATGGGAATTTTTATAAATAATATTCCGAAGACTATCAGAGCTCTGAAACGTGGATCCTGTGCAATATTTTTCAAGGAATATTAGGCCTCTAAATTGTCGATTTTGTATACCCTAACACCTAACCCCTCGAAATATTCCTTTCTGGCCGAGAGAAGTCATTCTAGGTATGTTTGTCCGTCTATCCATGTTAAGTTATAATCTTCACGAAATTGCACGGAGTTGGAGTTAGGGTCAGACAGAAGCCTATTGTTTTTGAAGATGTTCAAAGATATTAAGTCGTTCAAATAGACAAAAAAAAAATTGTCTTTGCATTTGCTTTAAACGTATATGTATATGGGAGCTGTATCTGTATCAGAACCGATTTTCTCTAAATTTGATGTACTTACTTCCAGACTGAATTCGGTCGGATGTGCCAAAATTCAAGTCATTTGGAATAATATTGGCCATTTGGTGCACAATTAACCCGAAATCGGTTGAAAATATATATTGGAAGTATAACCGCAAATCGGATGAAACATATATATATGGGAGCTATAGCTATATCTGAACCAAATTTGAAGCACTAGCTCCTAAACTCATTTGGACCGAAATTGAACATTTGGTGCACAATTAACCCGAAATCGGTTGAATATATATGGGAGCTATATCTAAACCTGATCCGATTCTCACCAATTTCAATAGGGTGCGTCCTTGGGCCGAAGAAATATTGTTTGCAAAATTTCATCTCATCTTCATCTCTCTAAATGAGACCTGCATATTCTTCACAAAAATACATTGAAAGACAGACGGATGGACAGGCAAAGAGACTGACTTGCATAAATCGACTCAGAAAGTGATTCTACGAGGATTCTCAAAAGTAACTATGGGTCTATCTCGTTTCTATCTCCATTTTACAAGCAAATGCACAAAGACAACACCACGATGTGGTGTAGGGTATAAAAATCTGATAACAATTGTTTTAAAATCTTAAAAATACCGAATATAGGGAATTTCCGTTATATCGGCGTCTACACCTGCATAGGCAAATTTTGTCATGGGCCATTGTAATATTAAAATACGAAACTTGAAACAATTCCGGTGAATAATGTCGCAATAACATGAAAATACCGAAGATATTGAGGTACCGTTATATGGGGATATACGAAGACCTGGACCTTTATAGGCATTTTTCTGTCACACAGTGTACAGGGTTGCCCATATTCGACTGACCCATGACTATTTGGACCCATTCCAATCGACGAGGCTTGTCCGCAGGCAACATTCTTTGCGTCAATTGAATTTTGTACGGGAACAAATGCAAATCAATGCGAATAATCCCTTGTAAAGTGGACCGAGCCATGCCCAACTGCTGAGAACGGCGTTTTTGGGATGTTCTTGGGGACCTCTCAACACTGGCTCGTACGGCAGCGATATTCTCGGCCGATCACCTTTGTCAGCTTTAAAATGGCCTCTTCGGATTAGAAAGAGCCTTACCAGTCGAAAATTTTTCGTATAAACGCTGAATGGTGTTCTTAGAAGGCGCACTTCTCACATTTTTTAATGTTTTAAAAGCACGTTGAGTTTTCACAATTGACTTCTTCTGTTGAATGTAAATTTCAACTATTTCGCGTGGCATGTATTGGTTCATGACGCTTCAAACGCGGTATGTCATTAAGCGATGTGACATCTCTGTCAAAAGTTATGGCGTTGCCAAATGGGTCCGTCGAATATGGACAACCCTGTAGTACCTATTATGTACTTCATATAGGAAACTTGAAACATTCCTGCGAATAATGGTTATATGGGGGCCATACCTAAACGTGGACCTACATAATATATTTTCAATACCAAAAGTCCTGCAGACCAAACACACATTTGAGTCAAATTTTATCAACCTACTTCAATTCGTTCGGAAGCTAAAGTGATTTCCACAGACGGACATAAAAACGGATGACTATCGCAAAATCGACATAAAATTTATACTGATCAAAAATATATATACTTTGTGTATATTTCGTGGAATGACAAACTTAATATACCCTCCATACTATGGTGGAGGGTATAAAAAATTATGGATTTAATTTTTTTCTGATTGTGATTCTAACATTTGTAATCTATATTGGAATATTTCAAATAATAATAATAACATTTCCATTACAGAAAGATGGCATGCCCCTACCGGCCGATCGAGCCATTGTCGAGGATGGAAATCTAACATTAACCGGTCTAACTGAACAGGATCGTGGCATTTACGAATGTGTGGCCACAAATGAAGCTGCCACAATAACCGCCGAAACAGAGTTGATGATAGAAAACATTGCACCTAGGCCACCATACAATTTGACAGCTAACAGCACGGAGACATCCATAACCATAAGATGGCAACCAGGTAAGGTGTTCCACACTCAAAATAAATCCTTTGCATTAACAACCTTCCAGCCGAAATAGCATTAATTTGTCTCTCTCTCTCTCTAAAAAAAATCAACAAGGCTAATATTGCATAACATTATTATTTGAATAACAACTGATATGTATGTGTGTAGTTGTAAATGTGTGCCTGTGTGTGTGCAACTTCACAAAATGTATAAAATATGCATAATTTAAGGGCTTGATGACCACCATCAGCCGCACCACCTTCACTTCATGAAAAGAATGCAGACGCAACGTACATCTGGCATAGTTGCTACCTTTATTGTCAGCTTCATAAAAAAATGGGAGTCCTCAGAAAAAACATCCTCCATGACGACATTTTGTTTTTCGTATTTTTGTTTTTGTTTTTCGGTGGTTGAATCAAAAAATAACAGGTGGCTGCAATGTAAAGGAGTGATGTAAGTGGCCGGAATTTTGCAAAAATGCTGATGTGTCACAAAATGAATTGTTCATATTTTTCCATATTGGAATATGCATTTCCTTTTTTTGTGGGTTCCTGGTTTGTTTTTTTTTTTTTTTGTGGCTTTTTGCTTATTTGGCATGAAAAGACCTGTTTACGAAGTAAATATGATGCTGTCGTGTTTGTTTATTCAACAATGGTAGTAGAATGTAAAAAATGTTCACTTGGAAAATATTTTTTTTTTTTTGTTATCAAAAATATACGTAGATGCATGTTCAGGTATATTTTAAAGGAAAGGGTTCGGAGATTTTTTTGGTGAAATTTAAAAAAAAATTACCCAAAATGTAAATATTGTTACTTTTAATAACGTATTGAAAATTGACCTGATGGAATAAGGAAAAAATTAAGTTTTTTAATCAATTGGATAAAATAAGTTATATCGATCCTTGACAAGTTAAGGTTATGACAATAGATAATAATTCATCCTTTGACGAATAAACATATGTAGGAGACAATGTGTTTTTTTACTCTCAATGTCAAGTACTCGCTACTTTTTGAGCGAAAAGTCCACCTTATATTCCTTCCAAAAGTTCGCGTTAGGCCTTTTTTACCCTCCACCATGCATAGTATGAAGAGTATATTAAGTTCGTCATTCCATCTCTAACACATCGAAATAATAATTTGATACCTAACAAAGTATATATTGTCTTGATCAACGTAAAATTCTAAGACGATTTAGACCTGTCCGTCCGTCCGTCTGTCCATCTGCCAAAACGAATCTCAGTCTTTTGTCTGCAGGCAGGTCAAGTTCGGTCAAGATGGGCTACATCGGTCCACGATATCATATAGCCCCCATATAACAGTACACCCTGATATTTGGTATTTTGATAACTGTAGCCAAATTGTTCAATAAAATTGTCTGAAAATCCACAAAAGGAGTTCCTTCTGAGTACTTTACCCCCTGAAAGGGTATTGTCTATAGCCCTCATAGAGCGGTACCTCTCTATATTCGGTATTTTGATGATTTAACCACATTTTTTTTTCAATGGAATTTTTTGAAATTCTACACAAGGACTTCTTTGTGAGTACAATAACCCCTGGAAGAGAATTCCGCGATATCGTACATCCCCTATATAAGGGTGCCTCCCGATAATCGACATTTTAATAATTGTAGCCAAACTTGTTAATGGAATGGTCTGAAATCCACTCAAGGAGTTCCTTCTGAATTCTTAACCCCCTAGAAGGGAATTGTCTATATGGTCCTACGTTTAGTATAGCATCCCAATAACGTTACATCCAGATATTCGGTATTTTCATGATTTTAGCGACATTATTCAGCGAAATTGTTTCAAATTTCGTATTTGAGGTTCGGAATTTTTACTACAGGCTATGACAAAAAATTATTTAAACAGGACTACGTCTTCGTATAGCCACCATATAAAGCTTTTAATTTGAGAGGTATTCTTCGACGGGATTTTATTGACATTTTTTTAGTTTCTTCAAAATGGTGGAGTGTATAAAAAAGTTCGGCCGAACCTAGCTGTTATTTTTTTACTTGCTAGTACTTAATTTACATATTACACAAGTTTTCCCTTTTTTTCGGGAAAAAATAATAGGAAAATGTTTACCTCTTACACCAAAAAATCTCTAAAACAATCCTAACCTCGCCATCCTAGACACCAACCGTGATCCAAAATTAGTTCAGTTTATTCTTTTTCCAAGAACTATAACGCATATTTCCAAACCCACCTCCAAATCTGAACCACAGGCCCCAATAGTGACAACGATATATCAAATTACAAATATATATCAAATGTCAGAATTTCAGATATAATCCTTCACCCAATATAATTTAAGTACGATTTTGTACTTTTCGTACAATTATAGTACATATTTCCAAAACCATTACCATATCTCAATTCCAGACACCAACATAGACCTCAATATAAAATTTGTGGATTCCACCCCAATATTCACCCAATATTGTACCATTTAGTACTTCTCAACAATTATAGAACCCATTTCCACAACCACCTGCATATCTCAATCTCAAATCTCAATCCCAAATACCCATTTGAAAACCACATCTTTATCACAAACCAACCACAAATAGAGACCCCAATAAGAAATTTCAAAATTTCATCTTCATTCGTTCACCCTAAACAAACTTTTTCAAATTGGGCAGAATTTAGCATAATTCGAATAATTTGTACGCATTTTCAAAGCTACCTTTACTTTCCAACTTTAATTTTCATACAAAATTTCAAGTTTTTAGCTTTATCCGTTCCCACTGTACCAAATGGTATCATTTCAGAAGTTTAGTATCATTTTAAAACATTTCCTAATTTTGAATTTCCAATAACCCTATGGTGCACCTCTCCTGCACTCAATCAGTGACTATCATTCCAAATTACAGAATTCCAGCTCTCCTAAAATTTAAATTGTACTAAATGTAGTACCATTTAGTACACATAAGTCCAATTTTCTATAACTATCTACACCATAAAGTGCAATAGAAATCTTATTTTCGAATTTTAGGATTCCAACTCTATTGGTTCACCCAAAATTTAAATTGTACCAAATTTAGTACAATTTAGTACACAGTAAATTTTAAAACTATCCACATTTCTCAGTCCTAGAATGCAATAGTAATCTTATTTCCAAAATTCAGGATACCAGCTCTATTGGTTCGCTCAAATCCAAATTGTGCCAAATTTAGTACCATTAAGTACTCTTAAGTACGAATTTTCATAACTACCTACAACATACAGCCCAACAGAAATCTTATTTTCAAATTTTACCGGTTCAGCCAAAATTTAAATTGTACCAAATTTAGTAGCTCTTATTACCCATAAGTACGAATTTCAAAACTGCCTAAATTCCTCAGTCCTAGATTAAAATAGTAATCTTTTTTCTAAATTGCTGAATTTCAGCTCTATCGGTTCACTTAAATCGTAATTGTAATAAATTTAGTACCATTTAGTACTTTTACATGCACATAAATATAAATTTCGAAAAACCCCTCCATATCCCAATTTTATATTCGGCCAGTAAAATTAATTTCAAATTTCAGCTCCATCCGTTCCTCCACATTCAAATTGTATATTCAGGATACCAACTCTATTGGTTCACCCAAATCCAAATTGTTCCAAATTAAGTACTATTCAGTACACTTCAGTAGAAATTTTCATAACTACTACAGCATACAGCCCAATAAAAATCTTATTTACAAATGTCAGGATTCAAAAGCTACTGGTTCACTCAAAATTTAAATTGTACCAAATTTGGTACCATTTAGTACACATAAGTATGAATTTCCTAAATTTGATTATATTCTTCAACGAAATAGTCAAAAGTGCGTCTTTCCTGTATTTGTGAACTCTACAAAAAGTCACTAAAATGGACATTTTCGTATTTTGTCTATAAAAGTTGGAAACTCCTTCACACATTGAATATTTTTGGATGGCCATCCAACTGCTTGGCTTTTGCAATGTCCGATAACCCCCATAATTACGACCTGCTGACAATTTTGCAGTTTTTTGGTCCATTTCAACCCCTAAATATATGGCGATCATCTCCAAAAAGAGTAGGCTTCTATTCTGACCCTCATCTTATCCCCATGCAAAATTTCGTAAGGATCGGGCCATAAATGCGATCTGTATATGATATCCTGATATCCTAACTACTTAGTTTAGTTAGCTGTAGAAATATTACCAAATGTTTAATTCAAAATGAAAATATGCCAAAAATATGACAAAATTGAAAAAATATGAGAAAATATTACAAAATCAATATTTTCATCTTTAGAAAGATATTTTTATGAGATTTTTTAGACGTTTTTCCTTTCCTGTCAAGAGGCCATTCTGAATTAATGAGAACTGTCGAAATCAGTTCAGCCGTTCCCGACATATATGAGATCTTTCAAGCATATCTTCTTTGATAGACATATATATCGCATATATTTGCTATATATTCGATTTTTTGGATTTTAACGTCAATGTAAAGATCAGAAGTAACCTTGTCATGGCTTTGTGATTTCGCCGGGATTTAAAATATTCGTGGTTTTATGAAAAATTTTGAATTTTTTCAACAAAAAAGATATGGCCTATTTTACCCGCTAAATATTATCCGATGACCACCCAATTTGGTAGGGTTCTTCCCCGCCCTAAACTCTAGCTACATGCGAAATTCCGCGTCGATTGGTCTATAATTGCGACCTGTATAGCTACTGCAAAATCCGAAATTTTTTCAGTATTTGGTCCATTTCAACCCCTAAACATTTGGCGATCATCTCCAAAAGAAATAGGGTTCTATTCTGACCCTAGTCCCACCTCCATTCTAAATTTCGTGAAGATCGGACCATAATTGCGACCTGTAGAGTGATTACAAATTAACATGGACAGACGGACAGACGGACAGACGGACGGACGGACATACATAGCTAGATCGACTCAGCTCGGCGAGCTAGGAAGATCTATATATACTTTCCTATGTGGGAAATCAATATTTCGTGGTGTTACATAATTTTTGGCCCAATCAAACTTATAATACCCCCAACA